GAAATATAGGAAGATAGTTGCGGTCTCAGATATTAGTTATCTTATTTTTAAACTACCCGACGTTTCAGATGCGTAGTAGCAGCCCTGTTCACAACGGGATTGAAGATGAAGGGTGTCCCTAATGCGCTAATATATTTTGCGTTGTAAACTATTAATAGTGTTTTATTTAAATGTGTATTACACGCATAGACAATACAGTAAAACAAATACCCATTGACTCTGCCCCATTCTTAATAAAATCCCTCTTGTAGCAAGAAAATTTCATAAGTTTTTTCAAAAAAACTTTTTCACTGCAGATTCGGTTATCAGTTGCTGTAAACCGAAATATTTTTATCGGTCGGTTAATCAATGGTACGCTTGTTCGCAATTATCATTTCATAGTCAAGAACAAAATCACATTAATACTCTCACATATTTTAGGTGCGTTACGTCACTAGATTGTCAAATTTTTAAATAAATAAAAAAATCCTTATATTCATACACAGTATAAAACTTACAACTAAAATAAGTAAAAAGCTCACGCCGGATGAAAATTAAAAACTTAATTATCACATGAAATTTGAAAATCTTCAAAGCCAGTGTTTTGCTTATTATATTTAAAAATATTCGAACACGTTATAACCTGTTCGAAGTCGAAATCCTTTCTTATTGCGTCAGATGCCGTCATACAAAGAACACACTCTCGTGTATTAAGTCTGCGGTTAGCGGTTTCGGCTGTACGCTGATCCATCACTCATTCAGGATACACATGGTTAAATACTGTCTATAGTTTACGCGAGTAGTACACATTGAAATAAAACACTTTAACGGTTTAAAACGCGATATATTAGTTAAACTTATTTGGAAATGATTTTTAACTTCGGCCCGACGTTTCGGATGCTTTGCAGCAGCCGTGGTCACGGGAAGACTGTCTTCCAATAATTTCCAAATAAGTTTAACTAATATATCGCGTTTTAAACCGTTAAAGTGTTTTATTTAAATACACATGGTTTCTATATAGATATCCACAAAATATTTTGAAGAACATAAAGATTTCATTTCAAAAAAACCAAGTAGTATAAATGATCAAACTTTTTTTAGAACAGACTTTGTATTAATAGTATAAACAGTACGAAGTGTAATAAAGCGTAAAATTCGAGTTCGTTTATTTCATTTTATTGTTTGATTAGGATACGGATTTTACTTTTTTAGGTTTATTCTTTCTTAGAAATTATATAACGTCTATCTTTATCTACAGGTTGGATCTCTGCTTTTGCTCATATTTAGGTAGTTGTCATCCTTTATGATTCTTTAGTACCTATTAGTCTGACAGTGATAAAGTACATTAACGCGTTATATCATGCGTGCTCTTTTGGGTTTTATTACAAATGCATATAATAATTATTGTACAACATTAATGTACGTACGTAATATTGAATTAAAAAATTACCAATATTACCTAATTACAATATACATTTCTTTCGTACCTCTTCAAAACGCAATATAATCTATTTTTTATAGTTCATTGCTAATCATAAAAATAAAATAAACCAAAATATGATTGTTAAATAAAGAAATTATGGTAGTAAAATTCTTTCGATTATCCAATGCTAAAATAGGTTGACAGCGTTGTTGAAATGTTATATGGGGGGTTATATTTCAACTTTCATCAAGTAAAACCCGTGGTTGTCTGTCTACGTCTATCATAAAAAATAAGAAATTCAAATAATGTGACGAAGAAAGAGAGAGAATGTTTCATGTTGTAAGAAAAAACCTATGTTTGTTTGTAATGTTAATTTGAGGTCAATATTACAAACGAAGGGTGTAAGAGGGCAGATAATTATATCGATTGTTCCACACACATTAGTATGTGTGTCCTAATTAAACAGATCTGCATATTTATGTGAATTTACATGAGATTACGAAGTTTTAAGCTTTGCATGGAAATCTATCGGTATTAGTAGGATTAACCGTGTTTATATTATTATTCAATGTACATTACGGGCTATTTCGTCTACCTTATATAACCTACAATGTATCTGGTCAATTATAATACTTCATATAGGTACGTTCTGGAAAATTGCTGTAAAGAGAAGTGACGCGAAGTCAATTTTTTATTTATGTATGATTGGGAAGTTCGTCAAAAGTGCTTGACAGATTGTAATTTCTAGACTTTTTAATAGCGTATTTAAGAACCTAGTATTATTTAATATTGAACTATTTACTTATATTAATAATTTCATAAGACAAGTATCTCATTATCTTAAGGAGTAAATTTGCCTTAAAATAAAGTAAAGTAAAGTTGAATTAACTAAGAATAAGTCTGTTTACGTGTTTTTCAGTGTGAATTATGTCTTTATTTCTCTACATTTAAGTTAGGGACATGAGAATTATTCTTATTTTGATTAGCTTAAGTAGTTTATAATATTTTAATGTACCTAGTTAGTAAGCCTTATTAATAAATAAATATTTTTTTCCGTTAATGAGTTTGAGAAGAAGGTCAAAGGCTAATATTCGAGACTTAATTTATAAGTTTTAAGCTAAAACAATGCTTGTACAGTGTAAAATTATATATTTGTTTGTTATTGCGTCACGCGTTACCTATTCAACAAAGTTACATTTTCCAACCAACGAACGTCCAACACTCGTAGGGTACTAGAAACTCTATTTCAAGTTATAATTGAGTAACAAGTGCTATGTAAGTCGGGACGTGTGCTGTCGCGTCCCTTTATTCGTTACATTAAGAACACATTTTGTCGTACCGATATAGTATATATCGGAAAAATATTTAAATTAATTCATTTATTATATCTACAAGGCTATATTTAGAGGTTTGAAGGTCCCAGAAACAAAAGCACGAGGAAAGGCCCATACAACAATCCTTACATTTTTTTAATAATTTTTATTCACACTAGAGATGTCCGAAAAATGATTTATCGTGAAACCAAATTGATAACTTTTAGTTGGATACCATTCAACCAACATAGACAATCTAATATTATCTTAATATATAAATATGGATCTACATGACTGTTCTTTACTGTTTTTTTGTCGGAACCCTCGTGAAATAATATAAACTTTGTCGCGAAAAGTTCAGTCGCTTATTTACCTACATTATAAAATCTAAACTTAGCTTTGCTAAATATAACAGAAATGTTATAATAAGGGCTTAAGAAATAAACGTTACGACGAAATGTGAAGGGGCGACGGCGAAACAAACTAGGTAGTTACGTACGTCCCCGAATTGCGTTAACTCACGGGATTGCAGGCGTTTCAATTTACATGGTATGGCTAATTTGCCGCCGCTTCACACCCCCATATTCGTTTAAATCGTGTTACAAATTAGTCTGGTTGTATCAGAGGACGCCGTTCTCGAAGGGGTGGTTTGATGAATGTCGAAAAAAAATATATATCGGCTATTAAGTAAAAACAATATTTTTCAAACAAAGTTTTAAATTTTGAACATGCCACTGACGCCATATTGTACCGTGATGTCAGTGTTGAAAATAGGTAGTGGCAAAGTTTTTAGCATTTTTCAGCTTTTCCCTATATATAATTGAACAAAACAGACTGGAATATTAAATTAGGAATTAAGATTTATTTTAGATAGGACACTTTGAAGCGAAATGTTACAAAGTACTCGGTCCCAGTAAACAGAACAACAGCGGCATCTTTTAATGGAATTCCCTTCAATATTAAATTTTACGTAATTTAATGTTTCCGCGGTCCGTAATTAATTCTGATTACGACAAAGTTAACTTGTCACTGCCTTTATTTCAATCTATGTCATATCATGCGCCTTGTACACAACAGTCGTCGAATTAAACTTGGGGAAGTTGTCAAGAACATTAATTTATTAGCGCAGAATTTCAAACACGACAGAAAGTTTTAACTGAAAACTATAACTCCGTGTCAGTCTTGATAGATTTGTTCAGCGAGGTCTCTAGCTTTAGAGATTATTAGGTAGAAGTCGCTTTTTACTTGCAAGTGACAAATTATTGAAAAAAAAAACGGTTTAAAACGTGAAACGTTATAGTGATTTAAGATGCTTAGAAGCTCATGCATGCAGGGACCAAGTGTAAACTTGGTTCTTAAAGAACGAGCTCCTTGACAAACCTAATATTATGTAAATACACACATTTTTCAAAAGTAAAATTAAACAAAATTTTTGGTTGAAATCAAGAAAATAGGGTTCTACTGTAATAGTTTATTATGTCTATATGAAAAACAACCATCTTTTTTACTAAAAAATCGATTATAAAATGAAAAAGTGTACAACCGGCATTCACAACGTTCCGTGCTGTTGCTCTACAGATTACAACATGCGTATTGTTTTTTAAGTTATAATCCATTTTTAATTTATATAGTGCCATCATGTGCAACAACATTCATGCAAAAAAGTTTTCAAATACTAACTTATTAATTTAATCATTATTCTATGTCCCTTGTGGAGAGCGTCATGATTTATTATAAGGAACATTTGTCATTTGATATGTCAACCGTTAGTCACTATCATTTCAACGGCGTTTCTACATAATATTTAATATAAATTTATCACATAACTGTACTTTGTGCTAGGTTACGAGTATAATAATTTAGTATTTAAAAACTATTTCGGTCTCCGAACAAGACTTAAATGTCTCGTGACCTCCTAGAGTTCATTGTAAACATTTAAAATATGCTATTAAGGTGTAAAAAAAGTTAAAAAAAACCCTTGAGTTTAGTTTACGAGAGTGATACATACAAGTTGACCATGACCACGTCCACGAAAAGCCACCGAAACGTCAACGCGTAGTAAAGATAAAATTTTTGTAAACCGTGAAAATTGTTTAACCTTACAGTGTTTTCTAACGCCCCACGTGAGAACAATACTCGAAGCCAATTGTATGTTCATTTTCCCATGTCTTGATAGATGCGTAATCTGTAAATTAAATCTGCTACAGCGCCGTACAATCTACAAGTAAAACGAAGCCTCCTCAACTTTCCGAGTTTCCATTATCTACTTTGTTTACACTTAACGGCTAAGGCTTCGGAATGTCTACAGCTCTCAATAATTGCTTGAGAGGATAATCTGTACGGAGTGTCATTTTATCGTTGATAATAAAAGCTAATGGAATGGAAGGTGTAACTGAAATCCTGGTCCTTTTACGATTGTCGTTGCCGAGTCCAAAAACTCTCACTTTTATTTGCGACTTTATACCTGTCTGTTTTATTCCCTCAGGGGAGTTGGCGGAGAGGAAACAAGTTTTGGGCATTCCGACTCTTATTGTATACGGCGTAGTCTTCTATAGGATTTGGTTGAAGTAAAAGAAATATATAATATATTAATAAATGTGAATATAACTGTTTTTGTAATGTTACTGGAGGTCAGACTTGGGGTTCACCTCATGGTAGGTGAAAACCTAAGCCATATAACATCTGTCAACCTATGTTGGATTTGGATATCCAGAAATCCACAGGTTGACACCTAAATTCAGTTAAAAAATTAAAGGCCTTTTTATTCTGTGACTGAATGACGATTCAAGTCCCGCCCGTTTAGTGAAATTGTTTCAATCTTATATCGATTTTAATTATATAATGCTATCATGTGCAATTACTTGTGAAAAATATTAAAGTCTCAAAACAAAATATTATCATCACCAGACTATCAGTGCCTTAAGTTAGAGACTTTAACAAATAAAGATGATCAAATGCGCATTTGGTTTTTGGGATATTTTGTTCTCGTGCTTTGCAATGCTAAGGAACACATTTGACGTAGTCAGTGCGTAAGATGTAAAAATCTCAACAAAAATGTAAAAATGTGTAGTATAAGCTGACAATATACTGTAATTCATATCTTAATGTTTGCAAATGGTATAACTGACACAACAATTACATTAACTAAATTGTATATTCTGATAGAACTTATTTGTCGCAGCAAATAGACAGTGATGGATTGCGTGTTGAGAGTAAGTTGACTTCGTACAAATATTTGCAGGCCTGTCTTTTACACTGTCTCGCTTGAAACAATTTATCGCTATTTACATAAAGCATGTAGAATACACGTTCTGTCTATCTGTTATTTTAAACTAATGCATATTGTTATAACCGCAATGGGACCTAAATTACACGACGGTCTTATTCAACAGTTTAAAACGTGAAATAAATTAGTTAAATTATTTTCAAATTAATTCAATAGAACCTATGAATAAATAATTTACGCATGTTGATTAAATATTAATTAAAGAATTAGTTTGTTAGTACCTGATCAGTACATCCATAAAAGGCATCGCCCAAGTCTTATAAAAGTACCCTTTTCTAAAACGAATTTGTTAGGAAAAGCGTCCTGGACAAGAGCAATAGAGGTAGTAAACTTACTTCATAGGCAAATAGACATTTTCTATGATGCATGAAGTGAGCTCGTGAAATGTTTACAGTTTATGATTTCATATGGATTATAAAATAATAAACTGATAATTAGTAATAGTTAACTAATGATATTTCCATAAGTCATAGTTAATTGTATTCTATATTTCTATGTTGGTTTTTAAGTTCAGTGTCGAATTCTCCCACCTGTCATGACATTGTAATTTTAATGATTAAATAAATAAATATGTACGTCGACACATTAAAAGCCTATAGAGATCATATTCAGTTGTCTTTGTTGTAGTGTATAAATTTTATATTACGAGTTAAGTATGTCTTATAGCAACGTAGATGTAGATGGTAAAGTTTGACCCGGTTAAAGTAATTGGGTGTTAATTGATTTAGTTTAAACATTCTGCCATACGTGTAGTTTACGCGAGCGTAGTTACATGTTAAAAAAAAAGTTTAAAAATATAAATAAAAAAAAACGCGACGCCTTGAAATTCCCCCGTGGCCACGGTTGCTGGAAAGCATTTAAAACGTCGGGTCATACTTAAAGTTGATAACGTAATAGTTTGCGATATAACTTTTTTCCATATAACAGTTCACTTGGTGTAAGTGCCAAGGTGCCATGAACAGAAAAACAGCATAATATGTGAGTATAAGTGAGCTAGCAGTAAAATGACATAATCGTCGTATAAACGGAAGGGTGCCAATAAAAATACCCTTTTCGCGAAAGATATTATTTACTTGTGCAATATCAAGGCCGTTCAGTTGGAATAAATTCTTGGAGCTGATTTTATTTCCTGGATCCCCAGCCAAGTAATATCGTTGGTGAAAATCTTTTGTTCAATTTTATGATTCCTGTCGCTTAGTACGGGACGTGGGTACAATGTAGTGTAAATGTCGTTTGAAAAATGGAAAGTTTTTTTCGATTGACATTTAATGGTACTGTTGGAAACTATATTCAACCAATACCGATAATACACAACAAACAATGTGAAAATGATTCCGTCGTTAAGATAACAACGTCGCATTGTGGTCTCCCCGCAATAAAATCGCGATTCCATTTCGTAATAATTCGTATAATATTCCCGTTACGAGGTAGAGATTTCGTTTAATAAAATCCCATTTTAATTTCTGAATGTGATTCACGAATGCCCGCATTCTTTGTCCGTATTGCCACTCGGTCTTTATGGGTCGGCCGTCTCACTTTCGGTCCAAAATAAACACATTTTTATTCCGATCTCATGCTAATAAAATGTAAATTTGCCCTTTTCGGCTTCGGGTTTAGCAATTTTCAACAAATGTTTCCTATTCAATTTTATTTGATGCGTTTAATTGTTGGTCATTGTTGCGCGAAATCTATCGGGTTACAGGACTTTGATATTGTTTAACTCATTTGTATACGGAGCCCCCGCAAATTGTTGGGTCGCTGCTTCTCGACAATTTGCTCGATTGTTTCCAATTGAGCCTATCAGATTACCCCACTGTCTATTGTTCGATATTCAATAGTTTGAAAGCTAGTAACACTTTTCTCCCTATATACAATGTACAATATTAATAGAAACAATGTCGTAGTATCTGTATTATATTAATAACTTTGTATGTACCGACAATTTAACTGTAAAGATTTTAGATTGAAAGAAATTATGACACGGGCGGGACTTGAACTGACATCCACAGCATTTCGTGCTGTTGCTCTAACCAATTGAGCTACCGTGTCCTACACGTCATTGCCCAATAATACTTTCATATAATTAAAACCTACATAACGAACCTAATACAATAAAAACGAAGATACATTTTAATATAATATTAATTTAAATAAAACACCTTAATGGTTTAAAACGCGATATATTATGTTACCTAATTTAGCGTTTTCGTTAAAATGTTATTTTTAATGTGTACTCTCGCCCGAACTATAGACAGCTATATAGCAGCAGTGGTAGAACATGTGGGAGACTCGGTCCCGTTTGTCCAGTTATAATATATCGCGTTTTAAACAGTTTGAAAGTACGGTTATATTTTAGCATGTCTTAGAATTCGTGTAAATTTAGTCTGGCAAAAAATATTATTAAAGCTTAGGGGTACCTAACTGGGAAATAATCCAATGTACAAATTGTTGGTAGTAGTAATTATGTCTGTAAAACAACCAATTAACATTATTTGGTAGGTACATTAACTACCTATATATTTTGGGAATAAATATCGGCAATATAAGACCAAACGTCTCTTGAAGCCTGAATTATCTCAACTGTAAATTTTGGAATAAAAACCAAATGGAAACAAAAGAAGCACGTTCGTATCTGGCTTGTTAAAAGTTCTCACTTCGTTGCAATTACTCACACCTGGATGTAAGTTTCACAATAGTCTCTGTTTGGTATAACAGTTTTATTTGATTTTAAAACACTTGTTTAATTACCTCTTTCATTTTATTACTCCAACGGGAAAGGGCTCATACCTGTGGGAAGACGATAAAATATTTAAGCCGAGAGGACATAAAAGGGTGATTAGGTATTAAAATAAAATTGATTGGTTAAGCGTACACAGAAGGTCTCGATGAGGGGGTTTGGGGGGGGGGGGGTATCCTCCATCTTTTGTCTAGATGTTTTTACACTGGACATAAGGGTTTTTTTTTTTTTTTTTTTTTTTTTTTTTACACCCCCCGGGTTTTTTTTTTTTTTTTCTTTTTTTTTTTTAAAACCCCCCCCCCCCCCGGGGGGGGCCCCCCTTTTTTTTTTCCCCGGGGCCCCCCCCCGGGGGGGGGGGGGGGGGGGGGGGGGGGTTTTTTTTTTTTTGGGGGGGGTTCCCCCCCCCTTCCCCCCTGACCACGGCTGCTACAAATCCGAAATTAGCCATAGTTAAAAATAATTTTCAAATAAGTGTAACTAATATATATTGCATTTAAACCGTTAGTGTTTAATTTAAATCAAATTTTACGTCCTGCGCCCGCGACTTCGTCCGCGTAGAATAGTTATTTTGGGCATCGGAGGGAATTTTGGGATTTGAAGCCAGAAACTCTCCCGTTTAACGCAATGCTAGGCAACACGTTGAACTATTTAGCTATAGATTCAACATACACATAAATATATAAAGTACTATGATATTTGTTGGCTAGATTGTATCACACACTACGTCAAAGCTGTCCCAACGGATGTTCTAAGAAAATAACTAGTCTCCACGGGCTATTTAATCTGTGATATAGTACTCGTATTCCCAAATCGGGAGCCATTTTGAAGATTGCCAGAGGTTCGCTCGCTTGCACCATTTGCGTTGTCTACAAATGGCATAATAAAATGATCATAGGGTGCTTGCATAACATTGAACTACTTAAGGCTTAAATTGATATATAATTCTAGTTTGATATGATATCGAAAGTCAAAAAAGGACGATAGCACATCTTGTATATGGGGATATTTCACTTCCCATCAAGTGAACCCCGTGCTTGCAAGCTCCTCAATATTAACAGAAAAAATATCCACTACAAAGTGTTATATAAATTGCTACCTGATTGTAGATTCGATCGACACTTAGTAGAAAGTTCTAGATTCTTCGAATCTGATTTTCGCAAAAGATGTATTTTAGAGCATTACTATTGTATTTTATTGTACGATGTGTAATAAGCACAGAACGCGATAAAATTGCTGTTCCGCTTCTTTATAAATGTATTGATGTCTATAAGTGCATCAAGTTACATACGTAAAGAAGTAAATATTGACTTTTAACTTTTCGTGACCATATTGTGAAATGAATGTATCTTTAAAAATTTACATTTTTTTTAACGAAATAAATCACTCACACTTCTGTGCCAGAAGGGCTGTGGCAGAATATGTTTGTTATATTTGTGTTTTCCAGGGTTGAAATCGAGGACTTATCGCAATACTAGCCTAAACGTTTAACCATGAGT